AATCAGCAGTAATTAACCAGGCCTAGTGGTAAGCAGTAACTCAAAAAAAACCAAAAACAAAACAAAAACACGTTTTCATTCCTCTATTTCCTTCTTCAATGCCAGAGCTCTGTGGTAACAGAAGAATTGGCGTTCCAGCATCAGATCTCATTCAGAAATCAAGAGGCTTGATATTTTGCCAAAATCAAGGAAGGTACTTGGCTTATATGGTGAAACTTATCTTCAGAAAATAATAGATTTCCAGAGGTAACTTGTATCACTTAAACTTGTGCGTGCAACATTTAGGAAACTGGACACATAATAATGGACTTAGTTAACATAGTGTTGTAGACCTGATGTCTAGACAAGATAAGACAGCATAAGTACACTTCAAGAACGCCTGCTGCTCATGCGGGAAAACAAAGAGATATCCTTTCGTGTAACACTGACAGTGAATTGCTCCACTTGTGAATTTAACACCAGGGACATATTTATCATTACCATGGAAAAAAACCACACTTCAGCACATTACGTGCTAAAAGCACAAACCGATCCTTAACTATATAAGAACAAAAACAACTCCAGAACAATATATTCATCCTGCATGTTATTAGATCAAAATATATAAGAAGTGCATGAAACCATAATACCAGCAGTATACCATCAACATTCATAGACCCTGAGCTCAGTTAGAGCAAAACTCTCTGTTACCCTAATTTCGAGTACTTAGATCAATCAACCTAAAGGGTTCTACGCCACTACCTTGGGACAACTTGTAACAACAAATTTCAATGACTGTAGAGAAAGGAGGGAAAGACATTCTTAAAGACATAAGGAAGTGCCCAGCTCCCACTGAAACACCACAATTACCTCACTCTTTTTGTTTTCAAAAAGTGTTTTGCATTTCTGACCATTTACAAACAGAACATCAAAAGCCACCACCAAGGGTTAGACTCTACTACTAGCTACAGAAAAACATCCATGAGCTAAATCTTAACGCTACAAAATGTTCCGTCTGTGAGGGATAAAGATTGAAAAGAAGATGCACCAGCAGGACGGAAAGAGTCAGTTTTCCCAGTGCCTACTGCGGAGAGGTCCCTTTTAAACTCAACTTTTCCATGATTCCATGATCGTGCTGGCCGTTTCACAGAAGAGACCAGAGGCTTCCAGGATCTGTTGTCCTAGGACAACATTCTCAAGTACCTGTGCATCTTAGCTACGTTTTTTCCTCTCAAGAAATCTTGGCAGACTTCAAATTCAAGCATATGCTTTGGAATTGTACTAGTTTGGGAGTCACACACGTAGTTCCTGGCTCTATGAGGACAATGTCCAGATTTTTCTGAGTCTTCATCCACGATCACAATTTCTACCCTCCTCCCTTTGTTTCAACCTCACTTAATATTTGCAAAGCAACTACAGGTCCACAGTAGGCAATCACTAAACAAAGAGCAACTTGCACTTCTCAGCTGAAAAACTTCTCCTATCCGAATCAGCACAAAAAGGATTTTATACGTGTATATTTCTAAATTACATGATTTAGACATGAATGCCTGACATGAAGTCCCCCAAACAGATATAACATATAATATTTTTCTGATAAGTCATGGGTACCATTTAAGATCACGTTCTATTTCAAGATTCTAAATGACTGTGCAATGACTGTGTCATTGCAACTTATAGGAAAGGATGAGTAGATTACAAAAGAACCAAAATGTAAGCAATAAATAAGATACAGGAATTGAGTTATTGCAACAAAACACCTGTATGAGTATTTCATTCAACTGCTTAAGGTTTTTTTATTTTTTTGTTTCTTAACAGAAATAGACTATACCACAAGGCCCCTTCTCCATGTGCACCAGGTTGACTCTTTCCCTGCAGTACAGCACTGAATTTGCTCATTGCCACATAGCGTGTTTTCTGTCAGTGCAGTTTTTGCCTCTGGGTTTACCTGAAATAGTACCATACTCTGAAGTAAAAGCACATATTTTGAAAATTCTTCTTTTTTTCCGGCTTGTAGCTTTGGATAGGGATATCAGTTGGATAGATGAATGGGAAGAAAGTAAAGCACAGAGGAGTTCAGAACAGCAAGAACACTACTTAGGAACGAGGATAAGATTAAATATGAACTGAAAAAGAGACATTACTAGACCTAGTACTTCAGGAGAAAGGAAAAAAATCTGTGGAGATGGAATCAGAAGCAGTTTAATAGATCAAGACTTCTAATCAAACGTCACTTTCTCAAACACTAGCTGGATCCTCAGACACATACCTAGTGGCATGAGGAGTTATCTCAATCCTGTCAAATTCCATTTGCACTTCTGTGGCTGTCCAGTAAGGGCTAACGGTCAGAAAACCAACCTTTTAGGAATTGTGCTTTGCAGGATTACAACTTCACCATTTTTTGTAGCATTATTCTTTGCAGCGAGAATTTTATTGTAATAATCTTTATACAAAAAGACATTCCAGAAATAATACATTAAATCTAAGTATTCAGAAGCTATTTTAGACATCTGAATAAAATTTAAACTCATTTACTTATTATGATGAATTATCCAGTCAATCTCTTTTTTCCTAAAACGTATTTAGGTCTACAGTTTACTTGTAAAATGTAAATATTACGTCTATACAAGCAATACTGTATAAACAATACAGTATGTCTAGTAATAGTATTAAAAATTGCATGCTAAGGACTATACTTTTACTGTGCAAAACCAGAAACATGCTTTAAATTAAACACTAATAACAAAGTATGAAGTATATTGAGAAGTGCATCCAAAAAATCTTTAGTAAACAGTTTACCACAGGACTGAAAATTTAGTTTCTATTCCATTGTCTGCTCATTTTCTCCCTTCCTTGTCAATATTGGAGAATTCAAATCACACAATTAAAAAAATTTACTTTGACTGGTTTGTAGTTGTCAGGATCTAAGACAGTGTATACATCTCTACAAAGAAACTGAAATCTCGTGAATCTTCATAATGTTTACAAAACAATTGTGAAAACATTAAGACTATCATAGTACTAAATTTTCTTGAATTAAACATATTGCTGAAGTAGCAATTAATTACTTCAGAACATCTATCTGAAAAATGTCTAGGTCATTTGACAAGGTTAAATTTAATTGATTAAATTCATATCTCTATTAAAAAAAAAGGATTTTGTTCAGCTGACTAAAATGTATGGAGGATGCTTCTAGTATCATTCTAAAAATCTTATTTTAATTCTGTGGAAGCTGAGAGCTTCAATATTCAAATCAACAACCAGAGAAACTGGATCTATGAATTCAAAAATCTTTAAATTACCCCTCAGGCTATTCTGAGATATGCTCCTAAAGGTTTTCTGTTCTGCAAAACAGAAGCTAGATTTCTTTAGAGGTAAGTGCTAACTCTACAACAGATAAAAACAAATGTCCTTTTCAAGACGATCTAACATTATCGTGCCCAAGTTTTCATCAGCCTTGACTGTAAGCCTGTCTCTAGGACCTGGAGGCAGACTTTCACCAGAAATAAACTAATCTCAGATTTAACAGCATCAGCAAAATGCTCACAATTGCTGTTTTCTAAAGATCTGCCCCTACTCTTCAGTATTTTTGGTTTGTTCTTTTTAAATTTTCAAAAATTATATATTTGGCGGTAGCTGATTCCCTGTATAAACTGGTGATCAGACACACAAACTACATCATGACCCTAGTAGTTACAGCATGCGAAGCACAAGACACACCAATACATGATTATGCAAAAGCATCATAAAAATTTGAAACAAAAACAACCGAGCATAAATTTGATTTTAAAGCGTCAAGAAAAAGGAACAGTGTTAGAGTACAGGAAATGCAGAATGCATGCAGACTAAGGAACAAAGGCCACTAGAATTAAGAAGGAAAACAAAAACGCAAAATAAGCTTTAGAAGATTATCTAGGACAGAGAGCTATTTTCCTGAAGATGCTGCTATTAGACTACTGTGAGGGCTATAAGTAATCTGCAGTTCCTTTCCACCTATCATAGGCACATACTGCCAACATTTTAAAGTAGAACAAGTCTGAATAAAGTCACCTCTCCCACCCGAATCTTAAATTTAAATGCAAGACTCCAGAGTTGGGCAAAGTTGTCTTAAGCCAGAGAGCTTTACTTCAAACACTCCGTTTAAGTTAACAAAGCTATAGAAATATGACACACAATCGTTTCATTGCTTATGACATGAAAATGAGTAGGCGATTGTAAATATTTTCCTTAACCAGCAGTGACATACTAAAGACTAATTGATAGATGAATATATTTCTATTGAACTTCCTCAAAGGCTTAATGTTATAAGAAACAGTAACAGAAATCGCACTTTGCATTAAATTGATCTGCAAGCACTCAACAAGGAACAGAATAGAATATTTTTGAGCACAATAATATGATATAGTAGATAATATCCCTCCCTCATCCAAATATAAAATGTTGTAATCAAAGCAAAATCTAAAAGTTCTTAATTTTCAGATAATGACAAAGGCATTGGGATTCAAAGCTGATTAAAACAAAAAATAAAAAAAAAAATCTACACAATTTGTAGGGTTCAGTCACATATTGCAAGTATTCAATTTAAGAGCATTATAGTGTAAAAGTAATTTCTGATAATTTGATCTCATATAAAACCACATTTCTAATTAATCTGAAACTCTGTTATGGTTGAATTTGAAAAAACTATTCAAAGAAATAGTCTTGAAATTTTCTTGAATTGGAAAAGAAACAGGTATTGCATATAAGTTACAGAAAACCACCACTAATTCCTGTGTACAGATGAATTTCACACTTCTTCAGTAATGTATAAGTATTAAATAGATCAACATGTTATCATCATCCCTCCTAAGAAACCAGATTATATTAGTATTATGCTCCTAAAAGGAGAAAAAAGATATTTCTACAACAGAAATCTCTACAACAGAGATATTTCTACAACATATTTCTAGCAGATCAAACATAGAGCATAGCAAACCATTATACATGCACTGTATAAGTGACAAAAAGCCTAGAGGACTCACCTGTTCAATCTCCTTGGTCTTGGTGGCAATTGCTTTTGAGCGGCCAAGATGCTGGCCATCCTCATATAATTCTGTGCTATCCGTTATATTTGTTTCCGTTTCCTCTGTTTGTTCAGCATATAACGGAGCTGAAGATCCGGCCTTAAAAGAAAAAGATTGCTCACGTTTTTGAGAACAAAATACAGACCTCAACATTTGAGAGGAAAGTAAAACACCAAATGTGGTTATTCAGTTAGATACAATTTTGCTCATCAAGGCTATTAGTGAAGCATTACTGCTACCACGTAACAGTTACAGGTAACGGATTTAGAACCCATAGATAATGCGACATCATAAAAAAAAAATTGTGACTCAGTTTTTCAACTGTAGGAAGAGAACGATGTCAGATAACCTTTACCTGCTCTTCCTTTGATAAAGGACTTGAATATGTGATATTTACAATACCAACCAGCAAGAAATCTAAAATGAAAGTGGGATTAGCTTTCTGAGAAAGAATAAGAGTAAAAAAAAAAAAATCACCAGTAAATAAACAATGACAAAAAAGGCCACCAAAAAGAACTCTTGCAGCATTCAGACCCATAGGCTAAACAAAGGAATAGAGTTATCTGCTATATAGCAAAAGCAAATACGAACTTAGAAGGTTCCTAATAATATGGAAGAAATGAGTACCAAGATTGTTTAAGTCTCTCTTCAAGAAAAAAATTAAAATAGCACCCCTGACTCTGACAATACAGACTCCCACTTCAAGAAGAAGATGCAGAAAGAAAAAATTACTACAGCATACTTAAATGCAATACTATGGAGCAGTTTTATAAAATAGTAGAATAGTTTAAAATATTAATTTTTAAGATTTGGGAATTGAGGAAGAGACAAACATTTTTTTACTATTCAGAAATAAACAATTGGAGAATTGTAAGACATTAGAAAGAAAAAAAAAAGGCTTAAGTAGTCCTATGAGCATCAGCAAAATCAAGTTTATTAACCTTCCTACAGGACAAAAAGTAGCAGTAGTGATATGTGAAACAAAGCTGGGAGGCACAATCAGCCGAAAATAAAGTTGGATAATTTTGAAGATCAGAGTAGCAGAAATAAGAAAATACAGCGAAGTACAAAGGTCGCATACTCAAGAATCAAGAACTTGTGCTAAAAGCTCTGAGCTTATCCACTGGAAATACAGGAAGAGGAGAGCTTGGTACTCTATTAGTATAAGAGGAGCAAATTATTCTCACCTCACTTTAGCTGTTTGAGTCAGACAGCTAGTAAAAACTATCTAGATCGTAGACGGAGCCAAAAGATGCAAGCCAGGACAGGAATGAATTATCTCTAGAATAGTATACGACTTTTCCTCTCCATCAACACTTAACCGTTAGATGACTATGATCAGACAAGTTGAAGAGTTTGTAGCTTTCTTTGCAGAGATCATGTGATTTAAGATACACTACAAAAGATATTTCTGGGAAGACTGAGAAGTAGCATGTGCAGGACTCTGGAGAAACTTTATCCATCTAAAGCTGAAGAGAAGGACAGCTAAAATGATCACAGGATTAAAATAGACTATCTTACAAAAGAGACATTACAAAACATTTAGTTTGTAAGTCTCCTTCTGGAGCTAGAGGTGCTAGTTCAAAACATCAACTTCACTAAGGACTTGCTGCCATTTCACAACATTTAAGTGGTTGGAGAAATCCTAGACACATTCACATCAGCAGTCTCCACTAACTTGTGTCCTCCTACAGTCAGGGATTCAGGCTATTGAGTAGGTTCCATATTTGCATTGCCACAAAATCCACAGCTGCACTGAAGAGCAAGAGGTATACCCATCCCTTGTCAACGTAGCTGCATGAGCGCTTGCCAGATTAACTTCAGTAAAAAAATCAGACGGGTTAGTTGAGAAAAATCAATTTAAACTATTCAAACGAGACTACACACTGTTCCCTGACGTGCATTAATAAATGTCTGCAGAGCCTAGTCTACTCACAGATCAGTAAAAGTAATCATATCTGACAGAATGCAGCAACACATACATGCTCTCCCAAGGTAGCAGAATCCAAAACAGATCACCTATCCAGGGGCAGCATAACAAAATGAAGACTGATAAAGGCTATAACACAGCAAGAGTTAGACTCCAAGGAGGGACAAGAACAGATGGGTATAAACTGATGGTTTAACTAATGTTGGGTAGTAGTGATGAAAAGGTTCTGGAAAAATCTAACTGCAGAAGCACGGGTAAAAACTTAATTTTTTGGATGGAAGCAGATCGCTTTCTGGAAAGGAATACATGACATAGCAGGCTGCCATGGCAGGGAACTGAACTCAATGAATCAGAGTTTTCCTTCTAGTCTTATGTTTTAAATGTACACTCACACTTTGACTCAGAAGTCCCCCGCTAATTTTAGGAAGCTCAGCAGGCATGCAACCTTACACCAGTGCAAGTTCCTCGGAGAATCCCTGGCGGAGTTGGAGCCTTGTTTTGTCAGTTGTAGCTCAAAATGAGTTCAAGACATACCAACAAAACCTACTGTGTTTTTGTGGATTTTTTTTAAATAACAAAAATCACAAAACACATGGCTTTAGTCTCCCTCTCTCTTCCTTTCAGCAAATAGTTAATAGCACAGGCAAACGGGTAAATTGCAAACTGCGACTTTCAGGAGAGTGCAGAAAAACAGCAGTCTACTGTTGTAGCATTTTAAAATCAATCTATGAATACTCCTGTCTTACATCATATTCTGTAAGTTCAGGTAAATTGCTTTCATCGGCCTTCTCCGACTTTTCAGCTGCCCACTTGCTTGCTGCTTCTGCAAGTTCCTTTTCCGATAGTCTGTTGCTCTTATCCAAGGCCTGTACAAAAATAGGATAGTGAAATTTTAACATGAAATATTTACACATGGAAATGCACCTTCAAAAGTTAGAAGAAACAGTTATTCAGATCCCAAAACACTTTAAAAGAAGAAAAACAAACTGAAGATACCTTTTTTTTTAAATGAATCAATCAGAAAATAAAAGAAAGAAAAAAGAAAGAGAAAACAATGAATGTCAATAAGACATCAAAAAAATACTTTCAGAGTCAATGTTACTAAGTTCACAAGGCAGAGATAATAGAAGAATTGTCTGATACTTCGCTACTGAGTTTAAAGAGACTTGGATCAAATGGGAGCTAAGGAGAAGTCAGATACAAGTGTGGACTGATTTAAAAATTCACTGTGATTTGCAGGGATAAAAAAGGCTGTAGCAAATTTAAACGAAAATAGTAAGCACCACATATGCTACGCAAGCTAAGGTAATTATGGACAGAGAGTATTCTGTACATATTAAGTGATCAGAACTGCCTCTATTAAAAATCACTATTTTTTACTTAGGATGAATGTTGATCATTTATAATAGAATCAGTCATTGCTTAAAAGGTCTTTTAATCTATCCTTTCCATGGAAATGGTCATACAAACAGTATTTTAAAAGTATTTAAAAATTGATTTCACTCTAGGAATACGATCATGGACCAGTTATAATCAGTTCATTTCAAATTACGTAAACAGGCAAAGGAAGCAAATACTGTGACCTGCAGTAAGACTGCTTCCTCTTCACACCTTTTGTGGTTCCCTCAAGTAAAATACAATGCACACATCTTTGTGCTCTGGCAAAGCATAAAGATAGAATTCACCTCTGGATCAGCTAGGATAGAACCCTCTGGGATTCAATATCATAAAGATGCCACGTTCAACTGAACTCAAAAGAGAACTGGAACACAATGTTTATCTCAAGTAGGAATCCCTCTTTTCTATCATTATAAAACATAGAATTATAAAAGTCAGGAGGCAACAGAGAGTAAGAGAAGTTAGATACGCAGACAGGGTACTAATAGGGTTGCTAAGAGAAAGGATGATATAATTCATAAAGTAGTCTAGCTCACCTTTCCCAGCTACATAATTATTCTTACGCTTTCTACCAACTATCAGCTGCCAAGATTTTTCCCCTCATATTCTTTTTCCCCAAAGGATGCCTGACTTCTTCCCAGCTGCCAAAAAAATATCGCATTATGGTTCCATTATATACTCCTCCCTTTCCTCAAATGTACTTCTAGCCAATACTAACAAAAAGAAAAAAACAGTATCTTTGTCACTGATAGTCAGCTTTGCATGAAATGAAGATGATAAAATCTCACATGACTTTAATATTTCCACAAGCCAAAAACAGAAACTAACCACTCAAATATCTACTAGAACACAGCAAATAGAATGGTTAATTTAATCTCACTAAATTTAAATCTATAGGTCTCTATATTTAAAAAAATTATTCAGTGCGCTGTATGTAACAAAGTAATGGTATTCCCCTAAATAAACTACAGTATGAGAGGAAAATTAAAGGAACATGAAAATGTTTCTCAGAGAAAAATATCTGCATTCTTCTTCAACTACTGAGGCTGTAAATTACCAAGAAAGGCACCTCCTAATATAATCTTAAAAAAAAAAAAAAAAAAGAGTAAAAAAGAAAACCTTATACGAAATAAGAAGTCTTGGGGTTTGTTTTTTTCCTCCATCCCTCTCCTTTCTTATGCATAATATAATAACAGCAAAAACCTGTCAGCTTACTGATATCTTTTCAGGGAAGATTTCCCTGTCTCACACATCTACCTGCTGCTTTAATTATGTTTGATACAGCCTCCAAGGCTTGTAGTCCAGACAGCTTTAAAAAAAAAAAAAAAAAGAGAGAGAAAAAAAAAGATTTCATAGATTTCACACAGCAGTTAACTAAACAGATGCTTAAGATCAGATAACACTAACATGTATTAATTCACCTGCATGAATATATAAAAAAATTAATTAAAAGGTATAGATAAAATACCTTTCACATTTGCATATATTACAACACTGAAAAGAGCTATTGCTGCGGAAGCATAAACATTTATAATTATTCCAAAGGTAAATTATAGTTTAGAGTGGTGAAAATGAAAACATTTAATCTATAAAATAAAGCATCTAACTCATTCAGCAAGTTTATGCAAGACTCTAGCCCTAGAGATGTTTATCTAGTTTCACCAAAACTTTTGCCATTGATACTTCCAGGTCAGTGAAACACTGATATAACATAACTGGTTAGTGTAATCCAGTCATCACTCCAAGAGGCTCCACTGATAGATGGTAACAGCGTGTTACAGGTAGATTTCAGGACTTACAGAGACAAGTGATAAGATATCACTGAAGTACATGCATACTTCATTACTGCAGCTGATGTATGCTGGACAAAGATTTGTGTTGTCTGGGGAAACAATTTTAATCAAATAGGAAGTTTCACATTTGTGTAGCTTACATCAACTCTGCCAGTCAATATAGGCAAAACGCTGGCAACAAAGCAATACAGCATAGATTAGACCTGACTGAAGAGGAAAACAAGATGTTTAAACAATATTTGACAGTTCAAGCTCTTGCTGCATATTAATGCCAGACAAAGAAATTTTGTAATATCTCCCTGTTCTCACAGATTTGTATTAAGCAAGGATTTGGTATTAAGCTGCAATATGCTAAGCTTGTAAGCAAAATAGGTGACCTAATTAAAAAATTTATTTTATAATCCAAATTAGTGCAACTCGTGCATATAACAGCTTTTATCTCACTTTGCCTATCTACAACACTAAAAGCATAGTGCTTACCTTCCCCCTTAAGGACATCAGCAATTAGTTAATGCCTAGTGCAGCAGTTTTAAAACAGCTGCATAAGGGATAAGTACTTTGACATAGCACAGCCAAAGCCTGCTTGTTTTTCTTTTCTGCTAATTATTTCCTTCAGTCTCACCTTTTCACAGAAATAGTACCTTTCTCCCTACACATTTTTTGCCTTTAAGCATTCCACTGTTTTTTAAAAAGACCTCAAAAACTAGCCTAGGACACCACGCTACTTAGGGAGAATGCTACTTTTTATAGGGCCTTATTCACTTTGGATAATATATTGTACTGTTTCTTTATTTCTCACTAAAGTATTTCTTAAAAATTCAGGGAAAACACTCCGGTAGAAGTGTTCATTTTAATTTCAAATATAATTTCAAGGTAAGCAGTATGTGAAGCCAAAAACTTTTTATTGCCACAGGACAGCTAGAACAATACTGAATGCTGATTGTTCATTAGTGTTTATTAGCCTGTCTGTTCAACTAATTAGCATAATTATGTAGTCAGTGCTTAGCCTACAAGATTTTTTGATGGGAAATTAAATAGCATCATTCAGAATATAAAACAGCATTTACCAAACTGTTTTGCAATGCGGCTCTGTTAAGTAAACACGATCATTCTTGCAAGCAGCCCCGCTTTCAAGTCAACTCTACTATTCATATCAACTTCTCAGTCAGTCAGATACTTCACCACACTGACAGGCATGATGCGGTTTCCAAATCCAGCGACAGCTTAAGAATCACTGACGAACAGAGTTCAGTGCAAGTACAGGCACGTCCTATTGATCTCTTGCTCCCAAGACCTGCTTCCCCATGTTTGTCCTTGCCCTCCCTTTTCTAGTACGCTCCAGACTTTGGGAAATGCCAATTTAAAATACTTTCAAAATACCCTTGCTCCTAAAATAAGAGAAAGCGCTATGGAGTAAAAGGCTTGTCTGTGTCATCTTTAGATACACAGCATTATCAGCATCTTCCCACCAAGTAAGGAGTTGGCAAAAACCCATCTTCAAGATACTCCTTTTATTAACAGCTGCAAACAGCATCTCTCCTTCCAAATGGCAGGGGGTGGGGAGAGCAATTTGCAGTCATGGCAAGAGAAGCACTCAAAAAGAAAATTCACCTTTGATGAGGGTACTGCTGTGGAACCTGATGGTGATGCATCTCTTGATGTTTTCAATGATTGAGCTGAAGTCCTCTCTTTACCTAAAATTAAAAAAAAAAAACACATACACAGTTGTAAAATTATACTAAAGATGTATGTTGCAAATACATTTATTAGCTTGGAAAAAGTGCACTGACATTTGCTTAACTCAGGAAATCTACACCACCCCTCCACGCTATATACACGACAAATATATCAATGTTATAACATTTACTTCTCTTTGCAAAGACACAAGCAATATGATTTATAAGGTTGGCATATTTCAGAAAATCCATTTTCCTTATTTTCCAGCATTCAACTGAAAGGGCATGTCAATATGATTTGGCAAGATGATGTAGTTTTGCCTTTGAATATTCCTGTAATGAACTTACTAACAGGCGAAATGAGGAATTCCTATCTTTTTGTTACAGAAGCCCTACAATGGGATACAGTGCTATACAGCATCAACGATAGCCTACACTGTCTTTGCATTATCAAAATGCAAATGCATTATTTTTTCCTCTCCAAAATAAGTGTTCAAATCAGCAAAATGACAACTCAAATTTACTTTGCTCATCACAATCAGTGCGCAGTCTTGTCACGTATCAGTTACGGGCAGCCCACAGCACAGAACTGGCTGCAGCGTAGACTACTAGTTTTCAAACTGTGGTCCACGGATTGCATCTAAGGGATCTGCAAAAGGTAAATAGGAAAAGCAGATCTGCTGTCAGTAGGCCTAAATTCACTACACAATTCCTGTCCACTGGGTAATGTCTGACTGTTCACAAATCAAAAACTACTGACAGAGACTTATTTTGGCTTCAATTACATTTATATCGGTTCAATTAAAAAGGTATAAGTATTTGACAGACTTGTCTTTAATTTAAGAAAATTTAGATATAAATTATTTTAACAGAACTCTAAACAAATATGGCTTTAATTTAATGACTCCAAGTAATAAAGAGAAAACATGACATCTCATTCCTAATAGCTGAGGTTTTTTTTTTTTTAAACAAATTTTGTGCTGTAAATTAAGACTGCATCTTGTATTGTGCAATTTTAAATAATGCTATCTACAAAAATTAAAAATAAGTCTATGCAAAGTGTACTTAATGTTTAATAGATATCTGAAAAGTTGGCCTTCTACTCTTTCCCCATATTTTCATGCTATCATGTGTATAGGGCAGACTGTTAATGCACAGCAAAGATCAAAGAATTACTCATCTCTGCATATTGTTAGAGGCAAGTCAATCAACATTACGCTGCCAGAGGCCTATTAATCCCTGTAAAAATCTTCAGAGCTACTGATGCTTCTTTCAACAATGATAATTACAATACTTGGGGAAAATGATCAACAAATAGATGTTTACTTTTACACTGACCACATTTGGCAAGAATCATATGACTGGACATGAAAAGGCACTAGGGAAAAGTAAACTTTCCAAATCGCACTCTAACCCTTAATTTGATGAAGGTATTAAATGGAAAACTTATTCAAAAACATAACAAGCAGTCACATTTAGGAATTTGTAGCGCCCATGACACCAAAGGTGAACTATGAGCTGCCTTAACCACAACGGCTTTTCAATAATCAAAGGAAACAGGAAAACAAGCAGAAAAGGCTGTGAAAAATTTGAAGTTCCTGCAAACACAACTTACCTGACGCAAACGACAAAGAGAAGATGGAAATAATCACATCTTTAATTTGCCACACACTCCCAGGATCACAGAATATATCCCTATCATCACTAAGACACCAACACAGAAGTTTTGCTTCTGTGATACCTGCTTTTCAGCACTGTGGACAAGCTACCGCCTTTTAAACGCGCCAAACTACTCCAACTCTGCCTTCTACATACCTCCTTCATCTCACTGGACTCTTTACACGCTATCTCAGTTGAATATTTTACATAGCTCTAATTGAACAGATGGAACTAGATGAAAGATGTGGCAGTAAATTAATCAAAATTAAGAAGAGAGAGAACATGGCATTTAATTTTGAGCCATTATTAAGAGGCCATTTATTTTTAACGTGTATATGGCTATTTTTGAACCCACAAGGAAATGCTAACTGTACAATCAAACACGACACTTCTTAAGCACTGCTACTTACCTTCTTGTATTCTCCCAGGCATACCGCTCTACAGGTTTCTTAATAGGGAGCCCGAGCAAGGAATGCCATTCTACTTCTCTCCATGCTCACTCATCACAGCTGAAAGTCTATGCCCTCCCACAAGCCCTTTCCGGCCCTTCAGTCCAACCTTCCATCTTTCCCCACAGTTTTGTTTCTTCAAATCCTGCAGCTGTGCATAGTTCTATGTTTGTGCTAATCTAGGCAGTGATGGAGACCAGGGGATATTCATCCTTCAGTGAAAGTCATCAGGTCAAACTGTTTCAACATTAGTGTCTGCCACTGCATAGAAATCAGCTCTGTTATCTTAAAAGGATGCACACCATGACAAAACATTTCAGACAGTGTGATTTTTAAACAGTATTACAATATTTAAATGGATATAGTACTAATAATTTCTGCATGAAACAGTACAATAGTTCACATGCTGAAAACCCATTTAAGTGCAGAGTAAAACATACTGCAGGCACATGCGGCATATGTTCCATTGTAAGTTCCTTTTAAATATGCAATACATGAGTTTACCTAACACATAAATCATATCCAAACATTAATCTAAAGGTTTTATTTAAATCGTGTATATCTTGCAAATAGGCCATTTTAATTCAGTCATCCACTGCAGCAATTTAGAAGTACTGTCTTCCAGGGAAGAAGCAGTTAAAGAACTAGTCTAGTCTGTAAGCCAACTAGTCTCTTAAAATAGATTTAAAGACGACAGAGAGAGATGTTTGACCTTGGAGTGAAAAAAAGAAGAAAATCCCAAACACCACAGACCCGAATGTTATTGTGTTTCTTGACTAGCATCATTTCTGGTTTGTGAAGAGATCTGCTTCCACTTTGCTACCATGTTTTTTAAAACAACGGAATACTACATCAGTGGTTTTGAACCTTCCTCTACTTCTGGACTCCTAACAGACTCTAAGAGGTCTATGGACTGTTTCAGAAATTCCATACAGACAGACATGTAGCACATACATTTCTTGGTCACTTTTCACAGAGGCTGCTGAAGCTGTCCATTGTCCCCATGGGACTCACGGACTACAGTTTAAAACAAAATATTCTACGCTATTTAAATTAATTCCCGTGAAAAAGGAAGTTATTTTATGACAAGATTCCCGCACAGAATGCAAAAGCTCTCTTAAAATACATGGAGTATTTTCGTGCAATTTCCCCATTATCTTAACAACATGTTTCCCTATTACAGTTCAGTGCTTGAGTAACTCTGCCTGTATACTACGAATGTGATAGAAATTTGGTCAAAGTTGTAGAAAATCCCTGGAACGTTCCACAGTTTTATGTAATTTCTCTCATCACTGTTTTCCTGTTCCTGCTAAATCCGAGCTGCCTATCCACAACCCTTCCGTAACATCAGTCAACCAGCTCTTAATTTCTTCTTCTATATTTACGTGCATTTACATTTACATGAGTATTGCTGCAAAATACTAAAAGAATTTCTGTTGTCAGCTAGAGAGATAATTTGTCCTTCATCAATGAGTGAAATAATTCCTCAGTATGTAAGCCAACATTAACCAACCACCACAAGATCTTTTCTGATAAAAGGTGCAACACAGCAGTCCAGCGTGCTGCCATAGAAACACACACGATACATATCGGTGAACAAAAAACTGAATTAAGAAATCAGGAGAAGACAAAAAATGCTGTCAAAATAAACAGTAGATTTGTATAGCCCCTCAGAAAGCATTTGCAGAAAGCAAGGGAAATCTAATTTGATTAATTCACAAAAGCTGCACAAACAGCAGTAGCTAAGGTTGTAGTATATTAAAAAAAATAACCAATTTTGCTTATTTTTGCAAGTTATTTAAACCCAAAAAACTCAAGTATTTTTAAAACATGACTGATTAGCTTTCTGGAAAAGATTAACAGCTAAGCTTTTAAAAAGCAGAACAGTATAGTCTTGATTGAAATATGTTTTACATTGCTTTGAGGAAAGCAAGATTTGAGATGATCTGAAAAGGAAGACAATATACTATACTGGAAAAGCTGTGCAGCTAAGAGTCGTGGACAGATGCTACTGAAATAATACCTGCAGTCTCCCACATGAAATCTCTGCAGATACACATACATAGGGGAACAGATGTTCAGTGAAACAACCAGAGAGCACACAACACAATTGGAACAAAACATCTAGTGCCCTCGTTGTATAAGAGAATATGTACAGCGAAAGGTCTTTTACAATGGCAATCAGTTTCCCCTCACTGACCAGTTTTCATCACTAATCCAGCATTACCTTGCTGAGAAGAAATATTTCTTTTATGTAAAGATGACATACTTCTGCTATGCTGGGACTGGTGGAAAGGATAGACTTTGCTTCTTTCAGGAGAGTAGCTCCTACTGCTGACGCTAGAACCAGATCTGCTGTGCGGAGAATCCCTTCGGCTCACAGGCGATTCCCTGAAGAAAGGAGAGTCCCTCTTATGAGGGGATCGCTCTCTCATATAGTGGGAAGGATAGAAGCTTTTTCTTCTGAAGCCATCTCTGATGTCCCTTTGAAAACAATAGAAAAATAAAAGTTACTTAACTATCCTTACATTTTTTTGGCAGAACAACGCTAGATAATAGAATTGCAACACTGTCGCTCTGGTAAATACAAACAGGTTAACTGTCATCTGCAAAATGAGTCTGAAAATTGTCAACATCGTTGAAGTACTATGCAATGAATGGAAAACAAGTTAGAAAATAGAAATAAATTAACATGTAATAGTTGAAATTATTTCCTCAGATTTCATTCAACTAACTCATAGCCAGAAGCTACTACCCTCCTACTACTCGATAATTTAGCTAAAACATAAAAGAGAAAAACAACTGAGAAATTGAGACTTCCACATTCTATTCTTCAAATTCCATCCATATTCTACCTTATCTGGAACAAAGTCTTAATATTACGATAGCTAAAATGCATATGCAATATCGCTCACATTATTCCACTATTGCTTCCATTCTATTTTTCTCTTATTCTTATTTTCAAGGGACTATTTCCCGCCTTTGGTTTCACAAACCTTGCAGGGGGAAATATCATTCAGGCATCATTTTATGTCCCAAAAAGACAAAAGAAAATTACAGACCGCCAATCCTCCTGCTTATCTATCCACCCAGGGCCAAACTTCAAATGAAAAACATGACGACTCATATCTACTATAGTAAAGTCCGCTTCTTATGCGATTTACATGATACGCACTGAAACTGTTCAGTAAAATGCAACAGACATACTCTATGTTATATAAAATCAGTCTCACCTGAAAGCGTAATCTAGTTAACACCAAAACTCTCTACTAGATTTATATATTATTACTCCAGACTATACCCAAATTGTTCTGGTTACCTGACTGTGTGCGTGTGCGTACGCATGCGCATGCATACAAAGGTCAAAAAACAGAAGCAAATTGCACTTTTCCAACAGAATCTCAAAGTTTACAAACATCCACATGAGCACCTACTGAATCTAGACCAGTGACATTCGTGTTGGTCAGAAGACACATAGTGAAGAGAAGCAAGTGCTCCTCAGCTCCTTTGACAGTCACAGAATTGCCAAGCCGAAAGAAAGATTTCCTAGCATTTATAGCAAGCCAAAACGCACCTCCTTTCTTCATTTTTCTTCTATTTTTCATTATAGCCCGCTATGTTAAACAAGGGAATATCTCACAAAGATCTGGTGGTCCCATCTAGCACAGTGTAGCTACAGCCCATTTTCTGTGGGTGGAGACAGGAAAAAAAAGCCCTCTAGTGTACAATTCCTATAGCATGTTACAGGCCCGCATTTGTGGTGGCTAACAACGGGTTTCAGTGTGCCCCAGGTGTCTGGGACTGCTGAAACTACCCAGGTAGTGCCGCACCAATACAAACGCTCGTTACAGGCACTGATATTAACGTGATTTACATAGTGCTGGTTTACTTTTTGCACAAACAGCACATCTACATGAGTGATTTTGCTTCATTGCAAGAAAATCCCACAGGCAATCTTTAGCTTTTCTGCAAAAGAAAATCATCTCGGTGCAGGGGAACATAAGCCAGAGAATCCTTCAACCTGTTTCTCAAAGTGATTGCATTTTCCCCAATTTCTGTCAGATGGAATAAAACATCAAGTAAATAAAATGCATCTTTGTTTGGCAAATTTTAATATGAAACTAAAGTAACAAGAGCTCAGCAGCTTTCAGCAACTCTGGTTTTCAGGAAAACACTAGTGAGGAAAAGCAAGGTTTTACAGTTAAATGATTATTTCCCTGTTAACAGGCCACAAGCCTTTCCTAAATATCTTATCTCACAGAAAAGCATATTTTATAGGTCTACCTACAACCAAAGTTATAGGTATACCAAAACTGACACAAGACAGTGTACATTACAACAGATTTATCTCTAACAAATATGCTTAAAAAAACCCCACCAACAATATTCATTTCCTTTCTAAACACCTTGTTTTCTTCTATTTATTGGGAGCCTTTTTTTCCCCACTCAAGTGAGCCACCAGAAGAAACGATTAAAGTATTGTTAAATACACAGTAGCCATTGTATAGATGTGCACGTCACAGAATGAATCATCGCCGGATACACCCAAGCCTAATCCTTCTGCTTTCTGCCAAGGCCCCAGCTCGGCGTGCCCAGCTGTGAATGCTGCTCTTCAAAAAAATAGGCAAAATAACTGGAGATTTTCCCAAAGAAAGTAACCAGAATATCAGAGACTGAGAAAACATGTTTAATGAAGAAGCACTGAAACCTGTCGGTCTGTTTAAGCCTAGGAAAAAGAAATCTAAAGAAGTTCAGACGAGTTCTCAAACATGTAAAATCTAGAGTATAAAACTTATAGCTATACTTACATAAAATAGGAAACTAATGCTTAACTACAGTAAACGTATAAACAGTTCAAGTAGCGATAGACTTAAACTGCAAAAAGGCAGATTTAGTTCTGACATTAGGAACAATGAAAAGACTAGATCAGCATTGAACTAGCTTGCCCAAAGAAGTCCCCATAAGTGTATTCTTTTGATTTATTTACTTATTTTATGAGTAGGTCAAATATCTACCAGGAATGATTTAGGTACAGATGACCTTCTCTTCCAACTCTCTACCCCTGATTTGACACAAAAAAAAAAAAAAAATTGTTCTTCATTGACTATATTATCATTTCTATTGATTTTAAACATGCATAGAATTTGACAAATCATCTCAGCTTTTAGAGATGCAGTCCAGGACAAAAATGAATTAAGATTAATTTTAAATGTATAATTCAGAGTTTTGTGTATTAGGGTACACAACATAAGGGTATAAAACGTTAAGGTATACAATGATCAATGTAAAGCAGTTGAAAAGTTTTTTTTTAAAATGTGCTATTAACTAAGATGATAACAAGTTCTGCTGGAAAAATTCTGAGATTTAAAATGTCATTTAGCGTATTTGAATGTTTCTGTAACATACAGAGAGCTTTTGATATTTTTTTTCTTTTTAAATAAAGCACAAGCTTTCTGGCAGACCGGTACACCACTTTTCTGCCCAAAGCACATTTTTATGGGCAAGTTATTAAGCCTCAGTATACAGAGAAGTTTATTATGGAAATGTTTACAGAGCCCCAGCCATTGCACACATATAATAAATGCTCTACTATCCACACAAGCATTTAGAAAATATCATTGAAACACACTTTTAAACAGGAAAACATTTTAAAAGTCTCGTTCTACAGGAACATAACAGAAATGCACAAAACGTTAAAATCTCATTTTCATTTTTGTCATTCATCACTCTACGTTAATTCTTAACTAGACCCTATCTCATACTAAACACTCAAGCTATTAACCCTATGAACCAGTTTCAGACAAGTTAGCAACACTACAGCATTTCTGATGCTTCCATTAATGTAACAAATCACACTGAACAGGACAAAATAAGCAACGTTTTACTTTTACTTTTCTTTTTTTTGTCCTTAAGCGAGCATACACCTGCAATTTGGTAACGAAGGCCCCAATTCAGCAAAGCAGTTGAGCGCATGCTTAAGATCCCAACACATACTCAAGAGGTTTATTGAGCAGGGGCTATTTAAGCAGAGATTCAAAATTTTTGCTCAACTGCAATTTTAAAATAGGGCTGTTTCCTTTAATAATGGATACAGGATTAATCCCTTTTACACAGGATCCCTCTTATAACCACACTCAGTCTTCACGTTTCTTAAGTCCTAAAAGCACAAGTTAGTTTTCCCTGCGATAGTTCAACAAACAACATCAGCATTTTTCACCTCCATGAAACTTGACCACAAAACTCTCACTACAGCTGAGAGCCTTGGATGAACACCACTCCTGACATTTTAAAAGTCAACAGTCACGGCTTTATACACAATGCACGGAGAGCAGCTGCGGGAAGAGCACAGGTCTGACAGAGACTGCAGTTAACTGCCGGTTCCAGACTTTCCTGGGGGGCAGAAACAGGAATACAGAACGGGCAGAGGAAAAAGGCTTTCTGCGCACCAGGGGACCGAGGGAGCACAACACGGGGGAGCTCTGCAGCTGCCAAGGGTTCAGGGACGCTCTCTTCCCTAAGCTATCAACACCACGCTCTGGAGACTTCTGGTCTCATCCCTCCCAAATGTTTTCAGCTCAGCAAACCACTCAGCAGCAGCACTGCAGCAAGAAATCAAGGACTGCCGGAAGCTTTCCAGCTTACTAGAGTGAGTGGTACAGATTAAGCTACGTGATACAGATAGTGCTGTGTCAGAATCGTAATTTAAGAAAATATAGCACCAAAATTCAATCACTGGCTAGATATGAAATGCCTGGAATAAAAATGTGCTTGAAAGCACTTCACATGGAATAAGGGGAAAAGGTACACAACCACAAAAGGGAATTCATCATGAAAGGTCAACAATCAATAGGAAGAAGGATGACAACACATGTGGAACCAATTCAGTGTTTGAAGAGGAATCTTAGCTTGCTGTCTTTGATTCAAGCTGCTGCAGCCCTCTGAGCTTTTAGCTGATCACTAGTATGCCAATAAATTGATGCTTACTGCCCCCTTTCACAGAAAAAAGCTGGACGTTTAGATCCCAGACATCTGTCTTTTGAATTAAAACATTAACTAATCTACTATATGGGCCAGCCACAGAGGACATTTCTCGCAGAGACTGGCAACTCAGCATACAGCGCTGGGGAGCAGAAAATTCATTTTCCTTTAATAACTCATAAAGGAGTACAGTCTGTTGGCTAGATAAGAAGTCAACATAAAACATGTATGCGGCCCATTCCCTCCGAGAGCTGACGGCTATCGTCGCAAGGCTTAGATGTTCCATTTACAGGCTTGGGCCTTGCCTGCAACTCACTCATGGGATTTTATAAAATAAATTGAAGAAATGAGACATATCCCCCAAGACAGACAAAACACATACACAAACACACACGCGCACAAAGCAGATCATCTGAAAGACCTGAGACTTGACCCATGCTGCTTAATCCTATGCATTTTCTCTTAAAGTGAAGGGGTGGAGGGGGGCAGAAAACCTTGCTCACCTT